TGAATGCAAATGAGAGATAAAGCCATTAAAATAGAGTCCATTATTTCTATTAAATTATTTCAATTTGTTTTTAGCTTTTAATTATTTATTAGTTTTATGCAAATCAGTGTTCATTATATGACAAAAAAGTTGTGATTTTTAAACAGGAAAAGCAATTTAACGCATAAATGACAACCAATTGACAAGTTTTTTGCAATTAGTAACCAATTGACAAGTTTTTTGTAATTAGTTTTGTTCATAATTATCAACGATATAAGAGTATAATGAGTGTGATTACAAATGCTATGACAATTGCACCGATGAGCAGCACCTGGAGTATGTCTATCACTGTTTTTCTCTGTAATACAAAATAAGTAAAGATTAATCTTTTTTTGAAGCCATTCCGCAAAAACATTATGGTTTACAAAAACAAAATATATGATCACTAGTAATTAGATATACAAACTGGTTGTCAATGTGATTTATAAATATTTATTATTTACAATATATGCTATTTATAACCCGTATTTTAATTTCTAGTCTTTAATTAATTTATTATATTATTAGAATTGTTTTATTTATTGATTATTAATATTAGTTAATAACACGGTATACTAATTATAGACATCCAAATTAATTATCTGAATTTATTATGTCCTAAATGCAATTATGTTATGAATGAACTTTAAATTTATTTATTTACTCTATCTAAAATAACTTACTAGTTAGTAATTGAAAATTCACTTTTAAGTAAAAATAACAAAAAATTTCAAAATAATCTTAATATAACCATCTATTCTTATAATTATCCTAAAATATGATTTAATTAACTATTGTGTCAATTTATTTGAAAACCAAAATTTACTTTACTTCAAAAATATACGGTATTAATAGATATTTATAATATCGAAACAAAAAACAAAATTTCCTTACAGTTCAAGTTTATTGAGATTTTTTGTTTGTTTTGAGTTATTATTGATTATAACTTACATTAAGTTTGGATTCTTTATCACTCTTAATGATGTATGTCTTCAAGTGATGTAAAATATGTAGTAAAAAATAGCTGACTATAAAAGCGATGACAACCCCGAGGAATGGTTTGGGTAACAAATTGCCAAACTTTGTGGCCAAACATATAGCTGCGACTGTTTGTCAATACAAATAAATGTTCTCTTAATAAAATAAATGAAAACATTAAAGATTTAATGATCGCCTTACACGACAGTATGTGTCCGATATAACCACCCGACCAGTGAAGCCAATTAAATAGCCATCGCTTTGAAGAGTCGGGATGTGGTCTGAATAGAGCGCCGATTGGCTGCAGCACTGATAGTATGATTGAAGTCAAGCCGACAATTGGATGGGCGTACGGCTTAATTGGCATAAAACAAGCAATAATACAATTTTGTGACTTATATATCATGAGACAAAACTTACTCCACTCCAGCCCTTCACCGATACAAATATGAGAACCGTTGCGATGATTATGAAGACTACGCCTGAGATCATAAGTGTCCGATGGATCTGCAAAAATGATCA